GACCAATGCAAGGGCTTGGTGCTTGCAGCTCAGTTTGGGCGGGCGACCAGGTTTGCCGAAGCCGGACTTCCACTGGTAGTGCTTGGAGAACTCTTGCAGAAGGATGTGGAAGGCGTCCGGGGGGATGGAGACGGTAGCGATAAAAGAACTTGGTTTCATGGATGCGTATATTATCATCCATGGACTGTTGTCGGGCGGGATTAAGGCGTCGCACGTCAGGTAGTGCCTCTCCTTGATTGAGACTCTTGCCCGGTACAGCCTTATTGCAGCGATGGACTGCGTAGAGTCGTCGTCGTCATCGTCATCAAGTACGTCCATCCATCTCCAGCGCTTCATGGATAATTTTTCCGAATGACTATCCGTACTATTTGTGCCACCACCAGTTCTTTTTTGATGAGACGCTTTTTCCGTCTCATCAATTTTTGCGCTGCAACTGAATTTTAATTCCGGATGATTGACCCGACACAAATATAGTTTGCGCCGGTTTCCGAAGCCATCCATTGGGTGTTTAGTGTAAAGTACACATCCATCGGTGAAATTGAAAGATATAAGGCGAGACTTGTTGTCAACGGCCAGTTTCAACAGTATGGACTAGATTACGATGAGGTATATGCTCCTGTGGCTCGGTTTGAGTCGTTAAGGCTAGTACTTGCGGTTGCAACGGTCTTAGATTGCGAAGTTCATCAAATGGATGTGCATACAGCGTTCCTAAATGGGAAAGTGGACACTGAGGTTTTTATGCATCAACCTCCTGGATTTCAAAAGAGAGGACTGAAAGGTGAGCATTTAGTGTGCAAACTCTTGAAGAGCATATATGGCTTAAAACAAGCACCAAAGAATTGGTGTGCAGTCCTCCATGAGTTCCTTAGTACAATTGGCTTTTCACGATGTGACAAAGAGTATTGCATCTATGTGAAAAGAGTGGGAGGATTGAATGAGTTGATAAATGATACGTGCACGATTGATGGTTGGATAATAATTGTCGCGTATGTCGATGATAGTGTCACCAAAATCAGAAGAAATCAACGAGCTCAAAATTGAATTGAGCAATCGGTTCAAAATGAAAGACTTAGACAACCATTATATCTTCAAAACGGAGGTTCAAAGAAACAGAAGTGCTAAGACCATGACAATAAGCCAACAGAAGTAAGTACATCAAGGACTTATTGGTAAAATTTGGCCAAGAAAATGCAAAAGAAGTATCAACTCCTCAGTTAGTGGGAGTCGAGTTGTTGTCGAAAGAGCAAATTGACAAGCAATGCAGCCAATTGACTAACGTAGATGGCCAGTTTATGGTGCACGGGACAGTTTAAGGTGCACTCAAGTTGGCCAATGGAATTGCTTGATTTTTGGAGTAGCCAATCGAATCACTAGAAAAATGAAATCACTAAAAATAAGCAAAAACAGTATACATATTTTAAGCTTAAACCGTGCACCATAAACCGTCCCTCCTATTTTGCCTTGACTTGAGTGGAATCGAAGTAGATGAACGCTAAGCTGAAGTCTATTCAAGCCGATTAAATAATCAGAAGAATTCCCAACCTTTCGGCTTCATGCAGCACTTTTCAGAATTGAAATCCCGGTCCTGGGAGACGAGTAAGCTGCATTCTACAACGAAGTCTCTTTTAAGTGCACCATAAACTGGCCATCTACGTTATAGAGGCATAGTCGGATCACTGCAGTACCTGGTTCGAGGTACTCGTCCAAATATCGGTAACGCCGTTCAAGAACTAAGTACGTTTCTTTCGTGTTACAATGAGACTCATTATTATGCTGCACTGAGAGTGCTGAAATACTTGAAGGGAACATCTATACATGGATTATATCTTGACGGGAAGTGCAAATATATATATTATGACGTGTACACTGATGCATCATTTGCGAGCCAAATAAAGGATCGGAAAAGAATTACTGGCTATTTGATCCGAATGTCTGGAATATGCATATCATGGGCAAGCTGCAAATAACTGTGTGTGTGTCGTTATCAACTGTTCAAGCAGAGCTGATAGCCTTAAGTGAAGAAGTGAAAGAGTGTGAATGGATCTTCATGCTGCTAAAAGAAATGGGACTTCACGTGAAAAGACCAATCACTATCTGGAGAGATAGCCAGGCAGCTATCGATATTGTGAAAAATCCATCAAATCACAAAGCTACGAAGCACATTGAAATTCGTCACCTTTTTACACGTGACTTATCAGAAAAGGGAAAAATCAAGTTGAGGTTCTGCCCAACCAAAGAAACGGTTGCAGATATCCTGACCAAGGCGCTGGCACCCACACAGTTTGAAATACTTCGATTCCTCATGGGAGTTCGAGATCTTAGTGTGGCCTGGAACAATGAAGAGGAAAATGTTCTGTTTCAGTGGAGTTAGCCGCGTCATGACAGATCAAGTGGGAGTGTTGAATATCAGTGTTAATTCAATCTTATCCGTAAATTATTCCGGATGAATCCCATACAAAGTTTCATACTGATTTACAAAGTAAGACATCAATAGTGTCGCTTGCATTATGTCACGACATTGGAATGAGCGGCCAGCATCGTCTGTAGATGTATCTTGAGTGATCTGCATGACACATGCCTATATTATTCAGGGATTGGCAGCTCTCCGTTTGACACTCGTCAGTGCCACGTGACGTCATAGCTAGCGATAGTTCATTAAGTTGGTGCGATGAAACAGAGGCTTGTGTTCACTTTGGAATTGCCCTTTAACTGAGCACCTTACAGTCCCCGAGGGTATCGAGGGAACTTCTGCTCGTATGTTGGGACTGGCTAGGTCAATTTCCTCGATTTCTGAAGTCTCGGATTCGTCTGAACATGCACTTTAATATGCAGTGTCCACTGCACTCCGGAATGACATATCTCTCACAATACGATTTGTTTTGGTTTGAATTTTATTCCATGAACTATAATAACTTGTGAAACACGATATCCATAATGAAATAAGATTACAATATTTTTATTATATTTCGAATGCAATATTCACAAGTGAAGCAGAAAATCAATTTAATTTTACCTCTGTAATATAGTTACATTTTTCAAGAGGGAGCCCTGGTTCCCTTGATGCCCTCGCAGACTAATAATACCAACCCCTTTCAAACCCACCACTGTGTTGCCCGCGTTCATCTTAATAGTACGTATTGTAATTTACTTCGAAGTATTATGAATATATTATTGATGATGATCCCTGACAATTGGTGGTTATAGTACCGTACAACTGTATAACCACCAATTGTCATTGTGGATTGGACCAATTTCTGTGCAGATGTTGACAGTTTTACCAATGCTCCCCGTTCGTCGGTAGGTCAAATAGACCGCCCCGCGTTCGTTTGGTGTTTTGGTTGTGATCGTCAAGTCGGTGTCGCTTCTTGGGTCGAGTTGAAGATTTGTCGACATCTTCTCCATGAGGCGCTTGCTGGATCAACTAGCGATCATTAACGCGTGACTTGGCCCATGCATTTTGCTTTGTGCGCCGCAGACACCGCCGAGCTAAGTTGGATCATGTTCTGGGGGTCCATCCATTGGCCGTCGCATAACACTGGCTGGCCATCGACATCCAACAGTGGGAGGCCATCGACATAGTGGAGGATCGTCCCCATAGCACCTGTTTTGTACTTCAAGTACCGTCTTGCGTAATACGAGTCAGACATCCAAGTGTCGTATCCGAATCCGCATAAAGCGCTATGAGACACTGATAGTCCGCGAGGGCATCGAGGGAACTTGTGCTCCCTCTTCAAAACTTATAACTAGATTACAGAGGCCACAATAAAATAAATTGCTGAGGCTATTGCGAACCTTGCGATATCTAATGAGTATAACATTTTACGAGTAATCAATCGATCGAGAGAAAATACTAATCATCCATGTCGCTGGAACTGGAGGCGCTTGATGACGAAACGTCGGTGCAGTTGTCGCTGTCGCTACCTTCGGGAGTATCCTCAGCTGTACGGAGAGCACAGTTGAGCTCAAGGAGCTTTGCCGTCGACGCTGCAATCGTGCATTGGATGACGTTGGAGTCTAGCTCAATGAACGCACGCTCGAGACGATCGCGAACGTCTTGAAAGGTCGTGGTCGAGGTGTACTGGCGTCCAACGGTGCCCTTGACGTTTGCCCAAACCATTTCGATTGGTTGCAACTCCGAAAATCCTGG